ACAGTCCATAGAGCATTACTTGTTAGGGAGGATGTGCTCATATCAGAGCTGTGATACTACTGTCATCACTTTACTGCAAAAAACACTTGCTTAATCTCTAATTAAATTTGGAAAATAGACTAACATCTTATACGATTGTTTTGACAATTAATTACTATATTGAAAGCAAAAGGGAGGAATTAAAGATCAATATAATCTTTTTCTTATCTTCTAAATATTACACAGCAATAGATGTGATTTCAGGAGTCTTCTGCCATGTACTGCCAGTTGAATGACTAATATGCTTAATAATATGTAAACATGATAGGGAAATTGATCAGACAGCAAGCACAAAGAACTAGTGATTAAATTGAGCTTTTGAGCAGGGTTGCCAAGACTTTTCGGAGGGTAATTCTTTCATATGAACTTCAAATTTTGTGGCTTTCACTGTGTGCTTAAATGGCAAGAAAGTACTGTAGAGACAAGAACTCCTGTTCAGCCAAGTAGAAAGTGCTCATGATCCCATCCTCATGTTGCAAATTTCCAGTCCACATATACTCTCTTTTATTTTTTTTAATTTTTATTTACTTTTATTGTGAAAATACTGTACAGAAGGGTTACAATTACATGAGCAAGATAATGAGTACATTTCTCATCAAGGATTGCAGCCTCTTCCTTTGTTTCCCCTTCCCATCCCTTCCCATCCTCCCTCTCCCCCCCACCCAATACTCCCCGCCCCCCCACCAAAGTTGTAAAGTTCGTTTTCGACATAACGACTTGTACTTCTCATTGTTGCCTCCATCAGAAAGAATGGCATTGCCCCATTTGTTAGGAAATGGAAAGGCTTGGAAAAAATTATATTAAGTGAAGTAAGCTAAGCCCAAAGAAACATAGGTTCCATGGTTTCCCTAATTTGCAATATCTAGTATATGTCTCAGTCAAGCAGAAAAGTTCAGATAAGGTGATGTTAGGGAAATGAACCCTAAGATATGTATTCAATGTTTTTTTTTTCATTCATACGATTGTTTCTAATGCATTTATAAGATTATTTCTTTGTTGCTTTGTATGTCCCTCTCCCACAGTATAACCCCTGCTTTCACTGTATTTGATGTCGGTATAATTTGTGGAGGAGAAGGGGAAAGACACATAGACTCTCTTTTAGAGTGCTTTCATTTAATATACTTCAGCACCTCATCCTTACCTGTGGAAGACAGGAAAAAAAGATAATGTTGTTTGTGTATTAAATTATGTAAATTAACATGTACAGGCATGATTTGTATAAATACAGAAGTTTGTAATAAATATAATTAGGAATCATTTCTCAATAAAAATATAATGAAAATCACATAACAAGACTAGAAGTCATAGAATTTTGTGCATGAAAACATACATTAGATTATTTGCAGAATTTCTATTTTGATAAAAATTTTATCCTTCAATATTTGAAGGATAAAGCACTTTACCTAAGGATTGAAACATTTTATTGAAAAATATATTTCTTGGAGAAGTTTTTGCTTCATAATTTTAGGGATACCGTTGGATCAATTGCAACAATGAGATGTACAAGACGTTATGTCGAAAGACAAACTTTACCACTTTGGCTGGCGAAGAGGTAGAGATGGGAAAGGATGGTAAGGGGAAATAAAGGAGGAGGCAACAATGCTTGATAACAAATGAACTGATTACGTTGCCCATATATTTGTAACCCCTCTGTACGGTATTTTCACAATAAAAATATTTTTAAGAAGAAAGTGATCCCAGAGTAATCATTTTTCTTCTTGTTTTCCTATTTCCATGTGATTTACTCCAATTTAGAAATCCAGATATATCATTTAATTTAATCTAGCCAAAAATATTGAGTATAGAGTTCTGATACTCTCTACATTCTTCACGCTAAGATCATCAAATATGGTGAGTTTGAAATGATTAGTCTCTATTTAACCTATGTTAATATTATTTACAATATTAGTGAAATGTTTAAAAGTAGTATTTATTTTAGTTTAATTGCTCTGAAGAGACAATAAATGATATAATCAAAGGCTAAAAATGATTAGATTTAAAATTTAGAAATCAGGAAATGCTTTTGACCACACTGGTTACTGGAGCCTTCACAACAACCTCATGAGATAATGTATATTGATGAAGAAAAAATCTCACAGGTTAGACATTTACAAATAGAAAAATCATGTCATTTTTAATATGTAGAGCTACATAACAAACAGAAAATTTAGCTTTTAAATACCTGAATATCCTAGTACTTTTAATTGCAGGGTAAGTACTTGTTCTGAAAGGAGATAAAATTGCATTTATTTTGAAAATTAAACCTAAGTATTCATTTGAATAAAAGACAACGTTTAAAATCCAAAACACAAAATGTACAGTTCATTGTTTTACATGCCAATTATGTTCTCTAAACTTACTAGAAATACTAGGTTAGTAAACCTAAATCATTGCTTTGTAGGGAAATAGAAATTTAGCTTCTTAAAACTCATGATTATAACTTTTTCGCAAACATTTATTAAGTAACTGATTTATATTTATGTCATGAAATTTTATTTGATAAATTTTTATTCATTAAGTTAAATAATTGGCCAATAACAATATAAATTATGCATGAACATAGTTTTCCTAACACAATTATTTCTTTCACAAGACATATCATGATTCTCTTCAAGAACACTGGAAGGCAGTGTGCTATTTATTTATTTACTTTTAGTTATTTTGTTAATGGTTATTAATTTTCAGAAGTGGCAGTTTAATTATGCTCTTTCCATAATGTATTAAAAATATTTGATTTTACTCCCTCTATTTCCTTTTTGTTACTCCTTTCTCCAAAGATCTTCTGTTTTTCACATAAAATTATATTTTTATATATGCACATATAATTTGGAAGATTTAAGCTAAACTGCAACTTAATTCAAGACGTACAGTCGATTATCAGGATGAACAAAAAAAAACTGTACTGAAAATGAATTTTACACCATGGGGAGAGAAGAGTGATGGATGTGGGAGAGGGAAGGGATAGTGGGACAACAACAAAGAAGGGGGTAACAATGCTCAACAAGATATGTACTCATTACCTTACACATGTAACTGTAATCCCTATGTAAGCCTCATTACAATAAAATAAAATTTAAAAAATGAAAAATAAAACGACAGGAAATAAAAAACATTTTTAAAAATTGGTACCTATTTCAACTTTTAGTTAAGTGCAAGTAAAATTTAGACCTACACACTGAGCAAGAGATAGGATAATTGTGAAATAGACACTTGCTATTAACATTATGATTCGGTTATATATAGGTTTAGGATTAGGCAAGGTGTTCCAGTTAGAGCTGGGGTTAGAATGTAAGATATTGTGTAAAATTGCCACATATTTTAAGAAGAATGAATGACATCAAAGTTAGAATGAATGAAAACAAGTGTGCATGTTATCTTAAACATTCATATATAATTTGGTTTAAAGTGTTACTGTTTTAGTTCTTGTTAGGATTAGGGAAGGATAAGCTTTAGGGTAAAATTTAGTTTTCCACTAAGAAGTAGAAGCAAAAAAATGTGTGATTGAATAGAATCCAGACAATTTCCCTTACATTAACCATTTGTTGTTAATTCAGGCTGTGATTAGGTTTTAGGTTTCTGGTTAAAGGGGGTGGAGAATTCAGTGAAGAAATATATTAAACTGGTGGCTCATGCCTATTATCCTAACTATTCAGGAAGCTAATTTCTGAGGATCGCAGTTCAAAGCCATCCCAGGCAGGAAAGTCTGTGAGAATTTTATCTCCAATTAACCATCAGAAAATCAGAAAGTGGTGCTGTGGCTCAAGTGGCAAAGTGCACACCTTGAGCTAAAGAACTCAGGGATCATGCCTATGCCTAGAACTCAGGGATTATGCCCAGGCCCAGAGATGAAATCCCAAAACCAACCAAAAGAAAAAAAAGCAATAGGATAAATGTTAATTAAATCTGGACTTATTTTAGGTTCTAGGAATTCAGGAAAAGCTGAGATAATGGAAGTAAAATGTATTTCATAATATCAGGATTTGAGATCAATTGGTTTAATGATTACTTTTATGGAACAGGATAGGTTCAGAGATAAGAATGAGAAAATATGTAGGGTTTAGGAAAACTTGCGATTTATTTTAAGAATTACAAGTGGAATTTCAGTTAGGATTGCACAAAACCAGCATTTTTCATAAATTTTAGAATTGCCATACCATTAGTGTTAAGGTTATGGTTAGGATTCCAGCCACGTTTAAGGTTAGAGTGAAGGAGAAAAAAAATGAGGCTCAAATAGATGGTGAATTTTGGAATAAGTCTGGTAAGAATTAGAATAAATGTGAACTAGAGTACTGCTATTAATATTAGAATCTACTTGCAATTAGGCTTATATTTTGTGGAGAGCTGCGAGAGCCGCGACCAAAGACGGCGTGGCCTTAAGGCACGGCTGCAAAAGCAACATTGTATGGCGCTGGCTCCCGCCTTCTGTCTTCCCGGTGACGAGTGCTCCCTGTAAGAAAAACAACTCCTTATATGGCTATGACTTGGCTCCTAGTTTGCTTCCGTGTTTGCAACCCTGTCGGTATATGCCACATGGTGCTTCAGGATTGGCCATCCAGGGGGCTTATAACCGGAGGGCAGGGGAGGGGGGGGAAGAGAAGCGGGAAGAAGTGGGCAGAAGAGAAGTGGGAGAGAAGCTTGTAGCAAGGTCGTGAATAAACTGCATTGAGAAGAATCCCGGGTCGCGTCTTCCTTGCTGGTCGAGGTGGTCGCGACAGCTGGTGGCCCATACAGGGAATTCAGAACTGTCTGTGGTCAGGGTGGTGCACCGGTAAGTTCCCAGGAAAAGGGGGAATCCGAGACAAGAGCGGGGGTAAGTTCCCAGGTGAAGTGGGAATCCGTGATTAAAGTGGGCATAATACAGTTCTCTTCTCTGTAGATAAAAGAGAGAGCGGAAACACGGGAAGAAATAAAATACAGGCCTCAAGTGAAAGTAACAAAAAATAAAATTTTTAATAACTGAGATGGGCGCCGCGACATCACATCCAATTTTTCTGGCCCTGGAAGAGCTACTACGCTCAAAAGGACTAAAGTTAAAGAAGGGTACTTTACAGACGTTCCTTGAAGTATGCAACATTGTAGCTCCTTGGTTCATAGTGTCCGGGAGCCTTACAATAGCCTCATGGGATAAATTAGGGAGGGATTTGGACTTTGCCTATGAACAGGGCACATTAAAGGCAGGAGTCTGCCCCATTTGGAGATTGATTAGTGGCTGCCTGGAGGATCAGAGCTGCTGTGAAAAGGGTTTTGGCTCCTCTGGAATTGAGTCAATGTATGTTTTAGAATTGCCTGTCTCCCTGTGGGGTCGAGATTTACTAAAAGAGATGGGGTTTTGCCTTAGTAATGAATATTCTCCTACCTCAAAGGAAATGATGTTACAAATGGGCTACTGCCCAGGGCAAGGACTGGGAAAAAACGTGCAAGTCTGTAAAGAGCCTATTGATGTCCACCAAAAACTTGATAGACATGGGCTGGGTTTTACATAGGGGCCACTGAGAATCAAGTTCCCATTACCTGGAAGATGGAGGAACCAGTATGGGTAGCTCAGTGGCCTCTATCCTCCGAAAAGCTTTTAGCCGCTCATAAACTGGTAGAAGAACAAGTAGCACTGGGCCATGTGAGACCCTCAATTTCACCATGGAATACTCCAATATTTGTGATAAAAAAGAAGTCGGGTAAATGGCGATTACTTCATGATTTGCGTACCATAAATGCACAAATGCAAATTATGGGCCCTGTACAAAGAGGGTTACCTTTGCTTTCCGCACTCCCTGCCCATTGGCCTATTATGGTAATAGACATAAAAGATTGTTTATTTTCTATCCCCTTGCATTCTGCTGATTGTGAGCATTTTGCCTTTACTGTGCCCTCCTGTAACCATGAAGAACCTGACCAAAGATATGAGTGGGTCGTGCTGCCTCAGGGTATGGCCAACAGCCCCACTATGTGTCAGCTGTTTGTTGGCAGGGCTATAGCTCCTGTTAAAGAACGGCATCCTAAACTCAGGGTGGTCCATTATATGGATGACATTTTGATAGCTCATAAGGTAGAAGCTGGGTTATAAAAGGCCTATGCGGAATTGGTTTTTGCCTTAAGGGAACAGGGTCTTTATCCAGCACCAGAAAAAATACAAACAGGCAGAGTGGTGGAGTACCTGGGAGCTAGGCTACATCCCAGGGCGCTCATGCCCCAAAAGTTGACCCTGAGAAAAGATAACTTAAAGACTTTAAATGATTTTCAAAAATTGTTGGGGGATATTAATTGGATAAGGGGGTATTTGAAATTGCCAAATTATGAATTAAAACCCTTATTTGATATGTTAAAAGGAGATATAGATTTAAACTCCCCACGAGACCTGACTGAGAGCGCCCGATTTGCTCTCAAAAGGGTGGAGGAGGCTTTAAGTGCCGCCTGTTTAAACAGGCTACAAGATGGCGAACCCTTTGACTTTTGCATTCTTCCCACTGAGACCCAACCAACTGGGCTACTTTGGCAAGAGGGGCCGTTGATGTGGTTACACTCTCATATGCCCCCCATAAAGGCGCTGGAGTGTTACCCTGAGGCTTTAGCGGGCTTAGCTCTGCAAGGAGTTCAACAGAGTTTACAATTTTTTGGAATTTATCCGCACTCCATCATTGTTCCCTACAATGCCTACCAAGTTCAGACTTTACGTGCCACTATTGATAATTGGTCCATTTTGAGATGCATGTTTCCAGGAGATATTGATAATCATTTGCCCAAAGACCCCCGACTGAGATTTGTAAAGGAACATCCAGTGATATTTCCAAAGGTAACTGCCCAAAAGCCTACTGGAGGGGCTATAAATATTTTTACGGATGGTTCCAAAACGGGATGCGGGGTATACGTCGCAGGTAACCAAGACCCCATGCAGCATCAATTTGTCCCTGGTAACCCACAGATTGTTGAGTTGATGATTGTAAATGAAGTATTTAAAGCTTTCCCCTGTCCTTTTAATTTAATATCAGATTCAGCCTATGTAATAAATGCTTTAAAGATATTGGAAGCGGTTGGTACAATAAAGGCTACCAGTTCTGTTCTAGCTCCCTTTACCTTGCTACAATCCCTTATATGGCAACGCAAGGACCCCTTTTTTCCAATGCATATTCGAGCATATACAGGCCTCCCAGGACCACTGACAAAGGGTAATGCCCTGGCTGATGCACACACTCATATTGAGTGGGCGCTCCATGCTTCTTCTGTTGACTTAGCAAAAGATTTTCATGCCAAATTTTATGTAAACGCCAGGACTTTACAAAGCCGCTTTTCCCTTTCTAGAGCGTATGCACGTCAAGTGGTAAAGGAGTGTCCTCGATGTATTATTTACCATAAGCCCCCTACGTTTGGAGTTAATCCACGTGGATTAAGACCCTTACAAGTATGGCAAATGGATGTAACTTATATACCAGAATTTGGCCCTTAAAATATCTACATGTTTCTGTTGACACCTTTTCAGGTGTTATACTTGCCACCCCCCTGTCAGGGGAAAAGGCTACTGATGTAATATCTCACTGCCTGGAAGCATGGGCGGCCTGGGGAATGCCAAAACAGCTAAAAACTGATAATGGTCCGACCAATACTGGGCAGCGCTTTGTTTCCTTTTACACTCAAATGGGTGTTACCATGGTGCATGGACTGCCCTATAACCCTCAAGGACAAGGAATTGTGGAAAGAGCTCATCGTACTATCAAGGAAATGTTAATAAAACAAAAAGGGTGAGCTGGACCCCTGATGGCTACAGCAAGACAAAGAATAGCCATGACACTTTTCACCCTAATTTTTTTTAATTTGGATAACGCTGGTCGCTCAGCGGCGGATAGGCATACCTGTTCCACTCCTTCGGCCTTAGGATCGGCTTTGTGGAAGGATGTGCTCACGGGCCTCTGGAACGGGCCTGACCCCGTGCTGGTATGGGCACGAGGATCTGTTTGTGTTTTTCCTCAGAATCGTTCAGATCCAGTGTGGGTGCCCGAACGACTTCTGCGGTGAGTCCAAGATGAACGGAACACGGAAGAAACAAAAGATTGTGTTGCTGATCATACAGCTCCTGATGATCCAACAGGGGCAGACAGTAGTGAGATGGGGGATACTGTCTGCATTCCCGAGGCCCATGCCCGTGAGACATGACGCCTCTCTTTTCCCTAGATTTTTCACTACAAATAAGACTCTTAAACTTCCCTTTTACCCAGATGATAAACAAATATCAGGGATAGGTGAAGCAAGAAATATTAGCTTGATGGGCATGCTATGCTTTTGTTTAAGTGATGTGACCTTTAATGGTAGTTGCATGGCCTTGACTGGTTCCCCGGCTGCTTATTTTAGATATTGGTATGGGAATCTGGGATCAACTGAGGTTTGGGCAAATGCTACTGGATTTGTTGGTACTGTCTTAGGCAGATATTATGAAAGCTTAAAGTTAAATACTGACCCATGGATTGTAAAGCAACCTAAATGGGCCCCTTTTTGCTTGCCTGACCATATGGGGGAGGCTTGGCCTTGGACAGGTTGCCAATCACGACTCGCTGTTTGGGCTGATGAGTCTGAGCATTTTTCATTCTCCCCTAGTGTTTTGTCCAATGCTAGTGTACAATTCTGGGCTGGAATTAATCCCTTTAATAATTGGCTGTTATGTGGTCTTAATGGAAGTTGCTTGCAGGCCGAACCTATAAGATCAGCCTACACCCGTGTGTGTGGTTTCCCCTTTTGTGTTTTTGGTAATTAACAATACCTCTGTATGCTCAGATGATGTATGTGCTTGCACTAATGAAACCTGATATTATGCTACCTGCTGGAGTTCTCAGTATCCGTTAGCTATAGTTGCACGCATCCCACGTTGGGTGCCTATGCCAGTAGATGCTTCTCAAGCTGTAACCTTGTTTAGGCATAAGAGAGATTTTGGCATCACTGCGGCCATTGTAACTGCTATAGCTGTGGCTGCTGCGGGTGGGACGGCTGCCGCTGTCGCCATGTCACATACTGTGCAGACGGCTCAGACTTTAAATAACTTGTCGGCTACTAGAGCCAGAGCTCTGGATTTACAACAAGCGGCCAATGCACAATTAAAAGGAGGACTGATGCTGTTAAATCAAAGGGTTGACCTTGTGTAGGAGCAGGTTGATATCCTGTGGCAGTTGGCTCAGCTGGGATGTGTTAAAAAATATGAAGGACTTTGTATTACTGCTATTCAGTATTATAACTATACCCAAGCAGCAAATTTGTCTAAACAACTGTCAAGTTATCTTTTAGGCAACTGGACGGGGGAATTCGACCAATTGATGTTGCAGCTATGATCGGCGATAAACTCTACCCGGATGGATGATGCCCTGTTACAAGATGTTTTCTCCTGGATTTTGACAGCTGTGGATCATTTTCAGGAGTGGGCGGGAATGGGCTCCCTTATTGGTATCCTGCCATTGGTGATCTTGCTGTGCCTGTGGTGCATATGCCGGATTAGGAGCTCGCAGCGCAGGAGTATTGCTATGGTGGTCCAGGCCTTCACTGCCATTGAGGCCGGACAGTCCTCCTATGTGTGGCTTGCCACGTTGAAGGAATAGCACAGGGTGTGAGGCAAACGCACTGCACTTGGGAATCACTCCCTGGCAAGAGCCCAAGAAGAGCATGTTGGGTTGCAAGTGGGTTGATGCCCAAGATCCCACCTCTGCAAAAAAGGCATCGGACGGGCCTGGTCATCACTGCGGAAGGCGCCCCTCAGGCGAAGACGAGTGCAAGGTCCTCTCATTAATGTTTTATACAGAGGCCCAACCTCTACACTTACCTGTTGCGTAATAAAACAAAAAAGGGGGAGCTGTGGAGAGCAGCAGGAGCCACGACCAAAGACGGCGCGGCCTTAAGGCGCGGCCGCAAAAGCAACATTGTATGGCGCTGGCTCCCGCCTTCCGTCTTCCCGGTGACGAGTGCTCCCTGTAAGAAAAACAACTCCTTATATGGTTATGATTTGGCTCCTAGTTTGCTTCTTTGTTTGCGACCCTATCGGTATATGCCACGTGGCACTTCGGGATTGGCCATCCAGGAGGCTTATAACTGGAGGGCGGGGGCGGGGGGGAAGAGAAGTGGGAAGAAGCGGGCAGAAGAGAAGTGGGAGAGAAGCTTGTAGCAAGGTCTTGAATAAACCGCATTGAGAAGAATCCCGGGTCGCATCTTCCTTGCTGGTCGAGGTGGTCGCGACAATATTTATTCTCAATATTCCAGTTAAGATTAAGTTTCGGGTTAGAAAATGACAAAGATATTGGAAAAAAATAGAAACCTATGTTTGGAATGCATATTTGAATCAAGTTAGGATGAATGAAAACTATTGTAACACTAGCTAGTAAGTGTTAGTATTGACATATAATTTGGATTAAAATCAGTGTCAGAATTTTGTTCTGATTATGATTAGTGTTATGAATAGGAAAGTTTTAGTATAAAATTGAGTTTTCACTAACAAGTAGAAGCAAAAATGTGAGAATGAATAGTAACTAGAGCATTACTATGATATATTTATTTCTCAGTGATCATTCTTGTAATGATTAATGAGAGTTTTCCAGCCAGGTTTAGGTTGAGAGTTAACATTGAGTAATGGACTAGATGATAAGTAAATATGAAATTGTTTTAGAATACAGTGGTTCAGGAAAAGGTAGGATCAATGGAAACTACAGTGTTTTTCCTGATAAGAGAGTCTGATGACAAGTAATATAATGGTTCATGTTAGGGAACAAGATAACTTCAGAGGTAGAGTCAGGAAATTTGTTGGAATTAGGGCAAATTGAAACTCATTTCCAGAGTGCAAACTGGAATATTCATTCCAATGAATAAAAGCTAGAGTATTTTTTAATATTAATTTTGGATTATGATTAGGTTGAAAGTTAGGTTTCAGTTCCAGCTGGGCTTAGTGTTAGCATTAGGGAAATGGAAAATTTAGGGTCAAACTGAAAGTTAATCTTCGAATAACAAGTCAAGATAGAATTAGGATGAATGTGAAATAGGAAACTGCTAATAATATTAGGATTGGGATATGATTAGTGGAGGATTAGCCTGAATGTTCCAGTT